AAAACCACTTTTTGAGACTAACTCATGTATAAATAGCTAAGAATTTCTATTTTATTGTTGGCGCACAAAGTGGCAAACCGTACTTGTGTGCGTTTACGAGCGTTCCGTAAATAACAATTGTTCATTTGCCACTTTTATGCTATTATCACATTCATAGATAGCAAAAATGGCAAAAAAAAAGTCGATTTTGAGCGAAAATAGAGGGATTATGTCTTTGTTATGAATACCCATTTAATTTTTTTGTTTATAGCCACCAGAACTTTGACTGATTAATTCCTTTTAAAAATTTTAAATTTTTCCCTCTAAGTGGCTCATACGTTCTCGTTTTCCGCTCTGTTCCTCAATTCAAATCAAATTTTCCTGTTGCAAATCCTGGATTTAATTCTAGCTTTTCTCTAGGGATATGAATATCTCCATGGATGATATCTATGTATCTGATGCAGCTTTACGACAACCTAAAAAAGGCAGACTATTTTGCTTTGTTATCACCACACCTAAATATCACTATACACGAGTGAGCGTTTTTTCCGGTTTCTGAGTAAATCTTTTTACCATTTCAAAGTTTATCAGGTTGTCGTTTAGGTACCAGCTATAAATGAAACTTGGTTGCCACGTTGTGATCATGGACAATTTTTCACAAGCGCACAAATGGATCCAAGTATTCCACACAGTACTGTATTGTCAAAAGTGCCGGACGACTATGAATATCTCTTTCATAAAACTCTCCTCTCGTTCCATTACGCATATACAGAGGTTTCGGATGAATTCGAGTGGTATTTTAAGGTAAATTCACTTTTTGCTGACATAGCTACGAAACTTCTAACCATCACAGGTGCTCGCTCAGTCATGAGGAGAGAGCACAATTATTACATGCCTTAGTGCTAATTGTAATATCAAACTGGTAAAATTTAGCTGCTTAAATAAACTTTAAATGGGTTTTAGGCAGATGATGATACGTATGTTATAATGGAGCATATGTACGAATATTTGGCGACACTAGATCCATCTGAGCCTTATTATCTAGGCTACACACTCAAGCCATATCTAGTAAGTTCTGTACTTCCTTCCGTTATACGATTTTAATTATAATTTTATTGCAAAATATGGAGAAAATGGTAGCTTTGAAGTCCAAATAAATGAGTACGCATGCTTTGAAGCATTCATTTCCATTGTGCATATGTTTGCTGAATATGAGAATGTATATGAACCTGGTAGCTTAAATCTCTCAGCATACCTTTTGCGACTTCATTCTTATCCTTAGGCAAATCTATCCATGCAGTTAAGTTGATTAGACAACTTTTATAAACCACGTTTAATG